TTCGATAAAATATTACTCAAGAAGGAGTAAAAGTATGTTGCTAGGAAAATGCCATGAAAGTACTCTGAAAAGTACAGTTTCTCATATATTTTACACAAGGAAATGTAACTAAGTACACCTCTGGTCATTCGGAAATCCAGTAAGCCTGTAATCCTTGTTGTTTAGTAGTTGAAGTCATCGCTGGACTTGCTGGGTTTATACAGAAAGGGGAAGTGACTGAGTGAGTTGAAGATTTGGTATTATTTGGTATTTCTATGTAAAAAGTCAAATTATGTTTCACAATTGGAATCTGTCTTTACATAAACACACAGTTTCCACGTACTGTTGCCACGTCCCCTTTTTAGTTGACCAGTCGATGGGCTGGACATGTCACGAAAGGCCATGGCTTTTTACCATAGGCTAATGGATGTATACGCTGTTTTGGTATAATATTCTTTTTCCCACCCACTGTTCACCCACTGTTAAACTAAATCTTTGTAAGAGGAAACTGGGTATAAAATGAACAGCCTAAATAACAACATAAAGAATTTTAAGAGACATTGATTTTTATTCAAACTCAGAGTTCTGTCACATTAGGTGTGATCATGTGACATGTTGCCTGTTCCACGTGCGCTCCAGGAGCTGTGAGCGTTAGCTTAGCATTAGCTTAGCTTTTCTCCCCCCCAAACTGACACCTTATTGTGGTGGGGGAGTTTTCATACCTGAATGATCCTAGGAGATATGTTGCCCGGGGCATCATGCCCCTGGTTGGGTCTCCCATGGCAAACAAGTCCTAGGTGACAGGGCAGACTAAGAGCAGTTCACAGCACCCTTATGAACTTGGAAATATCGAGGACCATTACATTGCCCGGTATGGCGCAGCCGGGGCCCCACCCTGGAGCCAGGCCTGGGGTTGGGGCTCGAATGTGAGCACCTGGCGACCAGGCCTTTGCCCACGGGGACCGGCCGAGCTCAGCCCAAAAGGATGACGTGGGTCCACCCTTCTTTGGGCTCACCACCCGCAGAGGGGTTCATAAGGGTCAGGTGTCTAGAGGATTTGGCACCGGTTGGGGACGGGTGTCTCGACGGCCTGGTCCGCACACACAGCATCTGGCTGTGACGATGTGGAACGTCACCACACTGGGGGTGAAGGAGCCCGAGCTTGTGCAGGAGGTTGAGAGACACCGCCTAGATATAGTCAGGCTCATTTCTACGCACAGCTTAGGCTCTGATACCCAACTCCTTGAAGGGGGTTGAATCCTCTATTTCTCTGGCATTGCCCATGGGGAGTGGCGGCGAGCTGGTGTGGGCTTGCCTATAGCCCGACAGCTCAGCTGCCACGTGCTGGAGTTCACCCCGGTGAACGAGAGGGTCGTGTCCCTGCGCCTTCTGGTCGGGGACAGGTCTCTCACTGATACTAGACAGTGTCGTCGAGTCATCTGACCTCCGGCCGTGTGTCTTGGACACTCGGGTGAAGAGAGGGGCAGAGCTGTCAACCGATCACCACCTGGTTGTGAGTTGAGTCCACTGGCCTAGGAGGAAGCCGGAAAGACCTGGCAGGCCCAAGCTTATTGTGAGGGTCTGTTGGGAACGTCTGGCAGAGCCCTCTGTCAGAGGGATCTTCAACTCACACCTGCGGGAGAGCTTCTTCCAGATTCCGGGAGAGGTTGGGAATATGGAGTCTGAGTGGGCTTCGTTCTCAGCCTCTATTGTCGATGCGGCCGCTTGTAGCTGTGATTGTAAGGTCAGTGGTGCCTGTCCTGGCAGCAATCCCCGAACCTGGTGGTGGATACCGGAAGTAAGGGATGCTGTCAGGCAGAAGAAGAAGTCCTATCGGGCCTTGTTGGCTTGTGGGACTCCTGAGGCAGCTGACGGGTACCGGCAGGACAAATGTGCTGCAGCCCGTGCGGTCACAGAGGCAAAAACTCAGAGCTGGGAGGAGTTTGGGCAAGCCATGGAGGAGGACTATTGGACGGCCTCAAAGAAATTCTGGGAAACCGTCCGGCGCCTCAGGAGGGGACACTGACTGGGGACATTGTCGGGCGGTGGAAGGACTACTTAGAGGATCTCCTCAATCCCACCGTCACGTCTTCCGAGGACATCACCCTGGCTGAAGTCACTGAGGTGGTTGGCAAGCTCCTTGGTGGCAAGGCTCTGGGGGTGGATGAGATCTGTCCTGAGTACCTTAAGTCTCTGGATGTTGTGGGGCTGTCTTGGCTGACACGCCTCTTCAACATCGTGTGGCGGGTGGGGACAGTGCCTTTGGACTGGCAAACCGGGTACTGGAGAGGAGAATCCGGCCGATGGTGGAACCTCGGATTCAGGAGGAGCTGTGTGGTTTTTGTCTCAGCCAGGGAACACTGGACCATCTCTACACTCTCCATAGGGTGCTCGAGGATTCATGGGAGTTTGCCCAACCAGTCCACATGTGTTTTGTGGATCTGGAGAAGGCGTTCGACCGTGTCTCTCGTGGTGTCCTGTGGGGGTGCTCTGGGAATATGGGGTCCGGGGCCCTTTGCTAAGGGCTGTCCGATCCCTGTATGACCGAAGCAGGAGATTTGTTTGCATTGCTGGCAGTAAGTCAGAACTGTTCCTGGTGCATGTTGGACTCCACCAGGGCTGCCCCTGTCACCGATTCTGTTCATTGTATTTATGGACAGAATTTCTAGGCACAGTCAGGGGCCGAAGGGGGTCCAGTTTGGGGACCACAGAATTTCATCTCTACTGTTCGCAGATGATGTTGGTCTGTTGGCTTCATCAAACCAGGACCTACAACATGCACTGGGGCAGTTTGCAGCCAAATGTGAAGTGGATGGGATGAGGATCAGCTCTTCCAAGTCCGAGGCTATGGTCTTCGACCGGAAAAAGGTGGCTTGCCCTCTCTGGGTGGGTGGAGAGTCCTTGCCTCAGGAGTTCAAGTATCTCGGGGTCTTGTTCATGAGTGAGGGGAGGATGGAGCGTGAGATTGACAGGCGGATCGGTGCAGCATCTGCAGTGATGCGGTCGCTGTATCGGACCGTTGTGGTGAAGAGGGAGCTGAGCCGAAAGGCAAATCTCTCGATTTACTGGTCAGTCTATGTTCCTACTCTCACCTATGGTCATGAGCTCTGGGTAATGACCTAAAGGACAAGATCACGGATACAAGCGGTCGAAATGAGTTTCCTCCACAGGGTGGATGGGCACTCCCTTAGAGATAGGGTGAGGAGCTCAGTCACACAGGAGGAGCTCGGAGTAGAGCAGCTGCTCCTCCACGTTGAGAGGAACCAGTTGAGGTGGCTCGGGCATCTGTTCCGGACGCCTCCTGGACGCCTCTCTCGGGAGGTGTTCCGGGCATGTCCCACCGGGAAGAGGCCCTGGGGAAAACCCAGGACACTCTGGAGGGACTATGTCTCTTGGCTAGCCTGGGAACATCTCAGGATCCCCCTAGAAGAGCTGGAGGAAGTGTGTGTGGAGAGGGAAGTCTGGGAGGCCCTTCTTAGACTTTTCTTTTTCTTAGACATTTTCTTAGCTGCTCATTATCCACAGTCAGGGCATTAAACTTATTTATTTAAGTCTAAGGAAACACCTGTTCTGAGGAACAGTGGCACAATGATGCTCAGGCTGCAGGACTCGGAGACACAGAGGATGGTCACTTTTGCTGTTATTCTCTTCACACCGTCCTGACACTGAATCTGATTACTTTACCTGAGACTTTTATTTGAGCTTTTCTATTATATTATTATTGTATTTTACTGTTCAATGTGATTAAACTGGCCCTCGGGACAAATAAAGTCATACCTAGGTGCTGATGGTGTGTCCCAGACCTGTTAACAGAAGACCAACCAAACTTTGGAGTGAGTACTGACATATGGAAAGCGTCTCGTCTCATGCAGAAGCAGAAGATGCAGAAGCTGGTAAGGAAGGCCAGTGACTGGGAGGTGGCTGGACTCTGTCAGCGAGGTGCTGAGGTGCATATCCACAACAGACCAGAGACAGTACCTCCACTCCTCTCTCTGCTGTGGGACTGCAAGATTTCAAATTCCTTTGTCTCCACAGCCATAAGACTCCCACACTCCACCGTCACTCTTAAAGCACTTTTGATAAAACCGAAACCATTATCTGGGTTTAGGAAAATGTTATTGGTGCATGCACACTATGTCACTGGAGGCCACAGTCCAGAGGCATATTTTGCCCGAGGACACGACAACAGTATGCATTGTGCATCAGGTAGGCTTCATACTGCATGATGGTTCAGTTCATGTCCCTGGTCAGTGCTACAGGTTCAATTTAGGGACATGTGCGCTTCATACGTCTAGGCTTTCCCATGTTTCATTGCAGAATGTTGATAGGAAGATAGGAATGTAAAAATGTTCCTGCAGCTGGGATCTCTGGGAAATCGCAGTGATTAGTTGTGTTTGTGTTGATGGGAAAACACTGCCCTCCCTCCTTCTCTTTTTGATGAGGCCAGTCTGGACCTGTCGCTCACGTTTACTATGAAGCACCGCAGCACCCAGCAGAGACATGATGTAACCCCATTCACACAACTGCTCCAGGGCACAGTCTGTCCTACACCTGATCCTGTCTCTCTCATGAAAAACATCATTTATGCATCTGAGTGTCCTAATTACTCTGTTTATAAGTTTATAAGCACTTTTCACAACTCTCTGAGAAAACCAAACTAGAGTGTGTCCATCACGGTAATGCGAACAACCAGCAACAACACACTCTTCCTGATTCTCAGAGCACACAGGGGTCTCATTTCTACCTCAGGGACTGCGTATACAATATATCTGTATGAGGACCCCTACATAACACTGCCCCAATCCAGAGCTCTCAGGCCCCTATTGAACACTGGAGGAAACTGTAGTGCAATTCAAACTAAACTGACGACACAGATTTGGGGCAGCCTGGGGCCAGTTTTAAAGCCATCCTACAGAACATTTTTCCCCACTGAGCCTCTGTTGGGTGAGTGCCAACTGCTCCCATTTCCAGTCAGTGAGCTGCACTTTCACTTTCTCTTTACGTGTATAAAAGAAGTCAGCATCAGCTCAAAGCTCTAGACACCTCCAGACACACTTCACCGCACCTCCATCAGCAAACCACCAGCTCCACTACCAGCAGCCTGCAGCCTGCAACCTCGAGTCACCACAGCAAACTACCACCACCAGCCTGAGACTGCAGCCTGCAGCCCACCTCCTCAGGTCACCTCCACCAGCATTCCCACCACTGCCAGTCAACCTCCTTCATCTACCACCAGCTCTAGCCCCATGGACCTCAGAGTGTGTATGTTGCTTGTGCTGCTGTGTGCTGCTCTCTGCTCAGGTGAGACCTGCACAATACACACTTACCACTCTGACTGACAGCTGGACACCTGAATGCATTAGATGCATAGGCCCATTGGCATTGTGCTCATGTTTAGGCTCCTGCAGTATTATTGCTCAAGTGTCATTCTAAAGGGTCTCTGTGTTCTCTGCAGCTGAGGTCCCTCAGGACTGTTGTCTCAGTGTGGCCCAGCAGCGCCCCCTACCTGCAAGACTTATCCACAGCTACAAATTGCAGGAGGCGGGGAGAGGCTGTGCCATCAACGCCACTGTGTAAGTGTGTGTGTATGTGTGTGCTCTCAAGTGCCAGTCTAATTGTGTGTGTGTTTGCGTGTGTGTGTGTAGGGGTGTGTGTGTGTGTGTAGGGGTGTGTGTGCATGTGTTTGTGTGTGTGTGTGTTGGTGTGTGTGTGCATGTGTTTGCGTGTGTGTGTGTTGGTGTGTGTGTGTGTGCATGTGTTTGTGTTTGCGTGTGCGTGTTTGTGTGTGTGTGCGTGTGTGTGTGTGTGCGTGCGCACGTGTGTGTGTGTGTGTGTGTGTGTGTGTGCATGCATGCGTGTGTGTGTTGGTGTGTGTGTGTGTGCATGTGTTTGTGTTTGCGTGTGCGTGTTGTGTGTGTGTGTGTGTGTGTGCATGCGCACGTGTGTGTGTGTGTGTGTGTGTGTGTGTGTGTGTGTGTGTGTGTGTGTGTGTGTGCATGCGTGCGTGTGTTTGTGCGTGCATGCGTGTGTGTGTGTGTGTGTGTCTGTGTGTGTGCTGTCAGGGGCCAGTCTAACTGTGTGTTTTGTTCAGGGTCCAGATGAAAGCTGGTAGACGCCTGTGCCTGCCCCACCCAGAGGGACACCCATGGGTGCAGAGACTCATGAGGGTGGTGGACCAGAGACAGCAGCCGTAGATGGAGCTGTGCTCAAGTCCAAATGTGTGTGTCGCCTGATTCAAACACACTGAATATAACCACTGTGTTTTTAATAAAAGTTTGTACCTGTGTCCTGTGGAACAGCCTCATGTGTTCTTTGAACTGTAACACTGTGCAGAAGTGTTGTTATTGTTGATAAAGGATAATGTGACACAAATGATCCAACTCTGAATATTCTGAAAAATCAGAGTGAGTGCAGAGTTATGGGAGGGGATAGGGGGTAGGTGAAAAGTGAAATGTTCTGAGCACTCAAGTCTCAACTGCAGGACAATACAGGATTACTCAAACAAGCATGAATCAATAGAAATACAACATGGGTAGAAGTCGGTGATGAAGGAACATTAGAACAGGTTTAAAAGCTCCAAAGAGTCCATTTGACGCTCAACTTAAGTGTACAAAGTACATCAAGTGTGTAGCACACGTGTCTTGGATGTGTTCTGAGTGGGGACATGTCTTCTACAGCCTCTGGAGAGTCATCAGGTCCGGTGCACTATGGGAAAAGCCATGTGCACTATGGGAAAAGCCATGTGCACTATGGGAAAAGTAATGTGCCGTGTGGGAAAAGTCAAGTGCAATGTGAGAAAGGCCTCTGTGTCTTTTTGTCTTTGTCCCCTTCTGGCAGATATGAAACCAGGAACTGAAAATCAGCACAACATCTTATAAAAGATCTAATTAATCAGTGTCTAAATACTTGTTCTCTGGTTTGTCTGGAGTCAAGGCTCCAGACCTCACAGCAGAGTGTCCGTCAGTGCAGGGGCTGTGGAGTTCCAGATATGAAAGGGCCCAGCTGTGGAATCTCTTCAGGCTGACCTCAAACTACACACTGACCCAAACATGCTCAACAGGACTCTGAAAATGTGCTGTCAGTTTGAAGTTGTTTGAAATGTCTGTCTGTCTTATGTCTTCTGTTACTGTTGTGTACAAATGTTAACACTTCTGTAAAACCCCTTAAAAGGGCCTATGGGCATATGGGCCCTATTGTTTTAAACATTTAAAATGATACATCTGGTCTAATCCAGCGTAACTGCTATGTCCATATTCAATAAATAAATCATCTCTGATGTTGGTGAATAGAGAGTCACAGTCTGGAGGATGGAGCTGTTTGTCTTTCCACTTGTGCAGTTTAGACTTTGACCCAGGAGTGTAAAAGCAATGACACTTTTATAGTTTCTTTACAGAACGGGGTAGTTACATTTACTTTCAAAAGAAATTGTACTTTCCAGAGTACTTTTCTTATCACGTACTTTTACTCCTACTTTTAATTATCTTAAGGAACAGTACTTGAGTAAAAATTGTGGTTCCCCGTCACACTGAGTCTAAAATGACAAAAGCTTTAATTATGTTGACAATAGTAAATGATAATGAAAGTAAATGGACCAGTTTCTATTATTAAGGCATTTTACATCTACCAGTATATTGTTGTGCTTTACGTTTAACCAGTGGAAAGAGTCATGGAAATTTGTACTACAGTATTCAAAACTAGATACTCATTTGAGCAGGCATCGATACTAAATGTCCCATTGACAGGTAAGAAATGAACCTTTCCTGAATGGCTTTAGAATGATCTGGAGTTATATCAGAACAAGAAAAGTGACAAAAACTTTGTGTTGACAATATGAAATTATTTGAACTTTTGAATTTCTTGCAGCGCTCCTTCAGATATGATTTGATTTATCTCATTTTGTGTGTCTGTTCTTTGAAAATAACAGATTTTGTGCATTTTTTCATGCTTTGTCCTTCACATTACATTAACTTCAAATTAAAAATCAGATGTTACGTCCCGACTGTTACTCTTTAAGTTACTCTTACTTGAGTAGTAATGTTCTCAAATACTTTTTTACTCTCCACATTACAGTATTGAACAGATTTTAATACAAACTGGGACATCCTCCACAGTGACCCAACACTTCCCCTGTCTTTCCAGAGAAAAGAGCTCTGACCAGCTGTTTCAAAATAACACAGTCTCCCCTCAACCCACGGATGTGAAACCTGCAACTACTGAGGCTACTGTTCATAAGCTCCAGTAAGAACATTTCACTGATGTCATTTTGTGAACTATAACTTCACCCACATAATATATGGCTGCACTGCCATACAGTTATTGCTGTTTCTACCCTGGATTAACTAACAATATATTAAAGAGCCCATATTACATTATTTTAGTTTTAGTTTCCTCATCCAGAACATATCTGGAGTTGTGTTTTACACATGTTTAACATACAAACCCAGCGGATTTAGGCAGAGTTTATCTTAGAAAATGTAATGTTCCACCTTGAGAAGTCATGTCTTAATAAATGAAGTGTTCCACTGTGTCTTTAAACTACAGTACACACACCCTCACTAGAACAATTTGGCTGATTTAGCCCTGGATTTGCTGATCTCTACTGAACAAAAGCTAAAAGGAGCTGTTCACTTGAAAACTACAACTTCATGACATCATAACGTGGAACAAAGCGTTTGCAGCTTTGGAGATATAGACATACTAATTACTCAAATATTTATGAATGAAACAAAGGTCAACTGCAGGTTTTAAGGACGTAGCAGCATGAGAACTGAAACTAAAAGCTGTGACTAAAAGTTCACGAGAGTCAAGAGACACAAGTATTTTATCCAAACACAAAACCCCAGTGACCCAAGAGCACTACATTTCAAATCCTCTGGGTACAACATGAGCTTTCTTAAAGTCATGGAGGTCATCCCCAGAAATACTGCAGCGGGAACAGACTGAAACTGAGTCAAAGTGAAACCTTTTGGATAAAAAATACAAACTCCCCAGGCCTGAATGAAACCTCCTCAGACTGAGTCCTGCTGTGCTGTAAATGTATCAGTGTGAATCTAATGAGCTGCTTTGTATTAACACTGATATTTAAACAGATTTATTCACATTCTTAGTGTAAGTGAGACCATGTAGTACATACAACAGCACAAGAGTAGCCAGCAAGAGTCCTTTATTTTGTTGATTCTCACACTAGTCTGTGGCATGTGTTGTCCTGATGCGTTTTTGGTGTTTTTCCTCACGTCAGTTGCAAACACTCCAGCATGTCCCCTTGGCCTAAATAAAGGAAGTAAGAGTGACTCAAATCTCCTTTTGTTTGTTTTACCTTTTTACTCTTACTTGAGTAATTTTTTTGGACTCCTTTGTACTTCTACTTGAGTAATATTATTTTGAAGTAACATTATTGTTACCTTGACAATTTCTGGCTACTGTTTCTGTTTGTACGGAAATGGCTGGAAAATGCAGTGATAATACACACAATACATCTTACAGTGGTGGCCACAGGTTTAACAAGTTTTTCAGCTGTGAACAAAACCCAGACTAGTGCGCCTGCTTCAGTTTCACAATGACGCGAGCATTTCAGCAGGCTTTACTGAGAAATGAAAGTACATGGACCAGTTTCTATTACTAAGACATTTTACATCTACCAGTGTATTGTGGTGGTTTGCGTTTAACCAGTGGAAAGAGTCATGGAAATTTGTACCAGGATTGTCAAAACTATTGAAAATCAGATACTACGACTATTAAATCTAGTACTGAAAATAGATATTAGTTTGAGCTGGTATCGATACTAAACGTCCCATTGACAGGACAGAAATTAATCTTTCCTGAATGTGTTTAGAATGATCTGGAGCTGTATCAGAACAAGTATCAGAGCACATAGAATAGGCGAGTTTCAGCTGACGTCATTGTTATTAAAAGCTCGCTTTGCATGCTGGGAAATATTTTGGTCGGAGGCAAGAAACACGGTAGCGTCAAACACAGTGCGTAACCTTGCGTATTTCTCCCCGATAATGGTACATTCCTGCTGCATTATCGGATGCACAAATAGAAGCATGGAAGAAGGAAAATGTATTTTTTTCTGAGTGAAAAGAACCACTAACGGCGAATTAAATGTCTTTCAAACATCTGCAGAGCAAACGTAGAAAATCCTAACAAATCACGGACTCCAACAAGTTCAACAACACATCGAGACTCTTGGAGGTTTTCATCTTTTCTGCTGTGAATGGCCCAGGAGTTTCCACCAAGTCATTGTGGATATCACCCAAGTGAACATTTGTCCAGGTAGTTGGCGATTCAGACCAGAAATTTGGTTTGGTCCACCTTTTGTCGGGGTTGAAAAGGGTGATTTGGCGTCCGTCAATGTTTATGACCAGTTTCTGGTCAAATGGTCTTGGGTCCTCTGCCGTTAGAGTAGATAAATAACCGGGATCAATACCCTTTACATGCTTTTTTGCTCCGTCCGTCATGTTGAATTAGTGTTTCTTGCCGCCGACCAAAATAATTCCCAGCATGCAACGCGCGCTTTTGTCAACAATGAAACTTGCCTATAGAATACACACATGGACCACTGTGGAACCTACTGCACCACTGAAGGATTACATAAATATAAGGCCCCAAGGAAATTAAAAAGGATGTACTACCATTAATGTTGAAAATCCCATTCTATTGTCTAAAGATGTTTTTACTATCATTGTGGTTGAATGTCAAAATCGAGTTTGAAATTTTAGTATTGTGATAGCACTAATTTGTGCTTAATTTGTACTTAAGCTGTCAAAATATAAGTTTAAGTGATGTAAGTACTGCTGTCAGAATTGCACTTTAATACATTTTAAAAGTACACATAAAAATACTACTCACAATACTAGCCTATAATTACTACTTATTTTTTAACTCAATTTAGAAACGTTTTTGATGACACTTTTATAGATCAATAATACTTAACCCAAAGGAAATTAATTTTTCAGGCAGCAACAATATTTAATAATAATGACAATAATATCAGTAATTCAAATGATAGTGAAGCGTTATGTAGCCTTATGGCGTATGGAACTAGAATCTTTCAGATGATTTCAGCTCTGGAATTTCCAATCTCTACTGAACTAAAGGTTTGTTGAAAATATGAAAACTACCACCACATGACATCATGAGGTGAAACAGAACATTTGAAGCTTTGGAGATGTAGACAGACTGAAAATAAAGAGTCACTCAAACATGTGTAAACAAAACACAACTCCATCTCTGTTTTTGAGGAGCTAAAATCATTCTAACAAGAATCTCTTTTGTGTAATATTGTTCTTTTACTTAAATTGTTTTATTTATTTTGCTATATTGTCTCTTTTTTGAAGGCTTCCTCACTCTATAAACATGTCAAGAGAAGACAAAATCCATGTTGTAGAAGTGTAAATAAAGTGTGTGTTGGTTGTGTTGGTGTGACCTCTGTGTGCACTCTCCTGACACTGCAGTTTGTTCCCAGGGCGTGCAGGTCAGTGTCGCTCCCACAGCGAGGGGAAATCCACACACTGAAACGAAAGCTCACAGGAGCCTTCTCACAAACTACTGCTCTTCTGGTAAATCCTGCATGTCCACGTGAGGAGACAAAACACCCATGGGTGCTCCGACAGGGGTGCAGCCAAGTACAGACAGTGGGTGTACTGCTCTTAGACAGTCTCAGAGCAGTATTCACAGAGTTTGGCCTTGGGCCATTACAGGGAGTGTGTGTGGTCAGGTATTTCACACATTACGAGGACTTTTTATTTGTATAAAACAAGCCCTGTCACGTAAATCCTGGATTTAAAATTCAGGTCAAGTGATTAAGATCTGATTAAGGCTTAGGATAAAGTAAGTAGTGACTATAAAAAGATGCAAAAAACCCAAGGCATTCACTGGTTAAAATAAAATGCCTTTATTAATTTACGGCATGTCTTAATGGCATGTCATTCCCTGAGGAAAGTTGTAAATTGTCCATTAAGACATGCTGTAAACTAATAAAGGCATTTTATTTTAATCAGTGAGTGCTTTGGGTTTTTTGCATCTTTGTACTGACTTCCCTTCCCAAAGAGCACCACTGAGCTGGATCTACTGTGTATTTTTTAAATTTTCTGTTATTTTATTTATTTATTTGAGACAGGGACAGCGCACAATTTTTGCATTAACCTTAACAGGAGAGATGCATTGTACATCAGGTTGTAGCTTCAGTGCTCATTTCCACCTGTCGTCCCTGGGCAGGTTCACTGATTGATTGTTTTTAATTGACCTTGACTATCAGCTGTTCTTGGAGACCTGGAGCATGTTTTGGGTTGATGGGGGAAACCGGAGCGCCCGGAGGAAACTCATCCAGACACGGAGAGAAACACGCAAACTCCACACAGAAAGGCCAGGAAGAGCTTCTTCTGAAACCTTTTTAAATTGTGACTATTTTATCAGGTTAAAGTCATTTCACCTAAACATGGTAAACATCATTATATTAGACACAGATTTAACCAAACATTATCTGTGGTATTTTCTACTTTTGTCATTGCGGTGTATAATCAGTGTTGGGGAGTAACAGATTACATGTACCGGATTTACGTAATCAGAGTACAAATTATGAGTAACTGTTTTCGGTTACAGTTACTGTTTCAATGAGTGGTAATTGGATTACAGTTACTTTGTTGAAATAAATGGATTACACAGAGGTATTTTCACATTTTGGGCTATATCCCCCCCTTTTTTTTTTTCGGTAATTCACACTAAACATTAAACCAGGTCTAAACCAGGTCTAAACCAGGTCTAAACCAGGTCTAAACCCAGGTCTAAACCAGGTCTAAACTATGTCTCAAACAGGATTTAACAGGACTAAATCATGCTGCGTGGACGTGTCTCCTCCTCTTCTATCAATAATATTTTTAATTTGTTTAAGTAAAGTCTGGGCTTTTTATTTTCTTTTAGCAGACAAAACATCTTATGTTACGATATCCTGGTCTTTGCTTCTCTACAGCAAACCAAGTAATCCAAAATATTCAGATTACGTTACTCACTTTAAGTAATTTAATGGATTACGTTACAAATTACATTTTGGTGTGTGTAATCTGTAATCTGTAGAGGAATACATTTTAAAAGTCACCTTCCCAACACTGTGTATAATGTTACTTCCTGGTAGGACTCAGGAAAGATCAGCTGCCTGGAGATCTGCTCTGTTCTGTTCTGTTCCTTTAGACTCTCGATCAGTTTCCAAGAAATAAAATCAGTTCATTTAATGTCCCCAGGAAGCATGTAAAACCAGTGTGTGTGAGAGTGGGCGTGTATTTGTGGCTCCGCGGGGATGGCACAGCTGCACAGGAAGTGAAAGTGAAAGTGTCCACAGAGTATAAGAGGAGGACAGTGAGAGACTGGTCACTGTGTATCAGCTCTGTCCCACACAACATGTCTGCTTCTGTCCACGTCCCCCGTGTCCCCTTCGCCCTCCTCGTCTTTGTCCTCACAGTGTGCTGCTGCTGCTCAGGTCAGTCCTCTGTCCGCTCTTCTCATCATGTCCTCTTTTTGAGCTCTCTCTTGTCTCTTGCCTAATTAATGTGTCCTCTCTCTCATGTCCTCTCTTCTGTCCTGTCTCTAATACCCTCTCTCATGTCTCTGGTGTCCTCTCTCACATGTCTTCTGTCCTCTCTTATGTTTGCTTTCTCTAAGGTCATGTCCTCTCTTAGGTCTCTTCACACTGATGTCCTCCCTGGTGCCCTGTTCTTAGATCCCTGTCTCTGTCCTCCTCTCTCTGCTCTTCTAATGATGTCCTCTCTCACCTGTCTTCTCCCTGGTGTCCTCTCTTGCCTATCCTCTCTCACCTGTCCTCTCCTCTGTCTCCTGTCTCACTGTCCTCTCCTCTGTCTCCTGTCTCACTGTCCTCTCCTCTGTCTCCTGTCTCACTGTCCTCTCCTCTGTCTCCTGTCTCACCTGTCCTCCCCTTCTGTCTCCTGTCTCACTGTCCTCTCCTCTGTCTCCTGTCTCAGCTGTCCTCCCCTCTGTCTCCTGTCCTCTGCTCTGTCTCCTGTCTCACCGTCCTCTCCTCTGTCTCCTGTCTCACGTCATCTCCTCTGTCTCCTGTCTCACCTGTCCTCCCCTTCTGTCTCCTGTCTCACTGTCCTCTCCTCTGTCTCCTGTCTCACGTCATCTCCTCTGTCTCCTGTCTCACCTGTCCTCCCCTTCTGTCTCCTGTCTCACTGTCCTCTCCTCTGTCTCCTGTCTTACGTCCTCTCCTCTGTCTCCTGTCTCACCTGTCCTCCCCTTCTGTCTCCTGTCTCACTGTCCTCTCCTCTGTCTCCTGTCTCACTGTCCTCTCCTCTGTCTCCTGTCTCACGTCCTTTCCTCTGTCTCCTGTCTCACCTGTCTTCCCCTTCTGTCTCCTGTCTCACGTCCTCTCCTCTGTCTCCTGTCTCACCCTCCTCTCCTCTGTCTCCTGTCTCACTTGCCCTCTCTCACCTGTCCTCACAACGTCTCCTCTCACATGTCTTCTCTCACCTGTCTTTCACTCTGTCTCCTGTCTCACATGTCTTCTCTCACCTGTCTTTCACTCTGTCTCCTGTCTCACCCAACGTCTCTCACGTGCCTCCTCTCACCTGTCTTCTCCCTGTCTCCTGTTTCAGTGGCTGTGGGACAGATTGCCATGGACTGCTGTCTGCAGGTGAGGAGCAAGGAAGTCCCTAAGGCAGCTGTGGTGGACTACTGGGTGCAGGTGGCGGGACAGGGCTGTGCCATCGATGCCGTCATGTGAGTACCACATTTATGGTTTGGGACTGTAGACTGTGTAAAGTGGACTAAACGAGTGTGACGTCACCCACTGCATCCTCCAGTCAACTGAAGCTCTGGAATTTTGATCACAAGTATCATAGCAACCAAAGAGCCAATGAGGAGCAAGGCAGTTGGTGATAACTCTGTCAATCAAAGGTGATGCTAATGCTCATGGGAGCGACCTCAGGGACTGGTCTGATTGGTTTCATTTCATTTATTTCTTTGTTTGAGCCAGGTACAACAAAATTCAAAAACAATAACAAAAATAGTGATATATACATAACATATTTGGGACCTGGTGCTCAAAAGGAGGAGGATGAAGTTTAAAAATCTTAAGGAGTCCTACCCCAATTGTTTTACATAATCACGTGGTTCACTTTTTTTCTTTTTTAATCACCTTTGGAGTGATCACCTGTCATTTGCAAAAAAATATATACCCACATATATACAAAAACATATCCACATATATATACAAGTACACACACTTGTACACACATATGTACATATAAACATACATATACACATCATAGATATCCAGTAGACAAACTCAATATAAATGTTTACACACATATGCATAACAACATATACATACATACATACATGCAGAAACATATTTCTGTTTGTAGTCGTACAAACTAATGTTAATCTAGGCACAAAGTTTATCGTTTATGATCATATAAAATAAACAGCAATGAGAATGAAAAATGTAAGGATTTTTTGTTTTCATTTATGGTCGTATAAACCAACAACAGCAATGAAGAAGGCACAGAGTTTATCCTTTAAGATCGTTCAAAATAAACAGTAAAGAGAATGAAAAATTTAAGGATTTTTTTGTTTTCGTTTATGGTCGTACAAACTAATAGTATTACTGATGAAGGCACAAAAGTGTATCGTTTAATAAGAATAAAAAATTTAAGAATTTTTGTTTTCATTTATGGTCGTACAAGCTAACAATAGTAATAAAGAAGGCACCAAGTTTATCGTTTATGGTCGTACAAAATAAATGGTTTGTTATCATATCTTCATTTAGAAACAAAATGAAAACACCGAGATCGTGTAGAGTAGGTTAATATGAACATTTTAAAGCCAAAATGACGAGGCTCACTGCAGTAGGGAGGGTGATGGATTTTCAATAAAAAGTCAATTGGAGCTGGAAACCCATGCTCACTTCCTGTTTGGAACACAGGTCGCGTGTTCCAGTTACATATACTGTGAATGTTTAAGAGTGCTGGTCTGACCCATGACCCCTGACCTCTGACATCTGATCTCAGCTTGGTGACTCGAGAGGGCCGGTCCTTGTGCGTCCCACCCTCTCAGCCCAAACTCAACCAGATCCTGAGCCACGTGGAGAAGCTAAGGAAGCACTGCAAGAAAACTGGCTATAAGGTATTGTCCCTTTTGTAACCATCCTTTAAGAGAAGCTTCTAATGTCATTTCCTCATCACAAACACACCTGGAGTCAGGTTTTGTTTAACACACACACCCTGCAGATTTAGCTCTTCTCTCAAACATAAAACACTCTCTGCCCCCTTGTGATGTCATGTGGTAATACAGGAAGTGCTCCACTGTGTTTGTACTTTACAAACACAGTGGAACCATCTTCAGTAGAATAATTTTTATCACTTCAGCCCTGAAAATGCCAAACTGAACTAAAGTAAAAAGGAGCTGTTCATTTGAAAACTACTGCTTTATGACATCACAAGGTGGAACAGAGCATTTTGTGCTTTGGAGAGGTAGACAGACTAATAATAAAGGGTCACTCAAACATCGAATCAAGTGTTGAGTCTATTTCTTAAATATCAAAATTGAGTGTGAAATTGTATACATTGTTCACACTAAATTGTATACACTCATTTATAAAAACATGATGAACCCATATGTAGTGCATGAATGTGACAAGAGCTGTGGTTCTGGACACTGCTGTGATGTTCTGTGTCTGTGTGTTCCAGGGGAAGCGCTGTTCCAGGGTCAAGCATGACTGAAGAGCTCTCCTCCTGTCAGTTTGCAGCTCTGAGGCCAGAATACAACAGCTCCTGTTTAAAGTACTTAGTACACAGAGGAAGTATATACAATGAGCCATGTAGAATCTTGAATATAAGAAAGATGTGATCAAACATAAAGCTAAACTAGGTCCAGCTGGATTTAACCAGCCAGGTCTAAACCAGGACTCAAACCAACACTAAACCAGAACTAGACCACTATACCAGCCCTAACCCAGGACTAAACCAGGGCTAAGCCAGTCCTAACCCAGGACTAAACCAGGACTAAACCAGGACTAAACCCAAAACATGCAAAATATGTTAAAAGGAAGTAAGGTACTGTGACGTTTGTATAAATCCTTTAAAGTAACTGTATTTAAGATTTGGATGCTAAATTTCATAAACACGACCTGTACCCAAGGGCCACGCTACAACAACGGAATAAGATAAAGATATTTATTGATGGTGATAGATGTGACGGCTGGGGGGAGAGCTGACACAGACAGTGTTGTTGGGACAGGCCACATAAATAGAGACTGTGGATAAGTGTGAAGGCGTGGGTGAGCTGAGCTGAGCTGTGGTTTGGCTGGAGCAGAGGTTGAGGTGTGGTCCAGCTCCTGAATCTCTCTTAATCATATTAACTCCACATAACCATGTTTAAATCAAATAAAATGATTTTGATAACAATTCTAATACTGATTTATTCAGAAATGCCATTCAGATGTTTGTTCACCATATTACTTTATTGAAGTAAAAACACCAGAATAAAAAATACTGCAGTAGTAGTAGTAGTAGTAGTATATGACTGAGTACCACAGTAGCATAGGTTGAACTCAATGTGGAGTCCATGCCTAAGCTTCTGTCTGTGGACTTGATTATGCATGTTTTCTTTTTGGTGATTTTGTCTTAAATTATGAATAAATGTTTATTTATATATCACATGACACTGTCCAGGCTTTGGACTTTTTATGGTCTCTATCACACTGTATGTATTTTTGTGAGCCTAAAATAATAAACCTAAAATGCATGAAATTTTTTTATTTATTTACTTTATATGAAAATTGTAGTCAGAGTAGCTTTGAGACACCATACTCCTTAACTACTCTATTGTAGAGTTGCAGTACTCCTCCTGTTGCAGTAAATCTACAAGTGACAAAAGCTTTACAATATGAAATGACTTCTACTCTTGAATCATAAGTCAGATGTTATATCCTGACTCTTACAGTTACTGTACTTGAGAAGGATGTTCCCCAAATATGATTTCTGTACTTCAACTTGAGTCATATTATTTTATAAATTGACATTTTTCTTACTTGTGTACATTTTTTGCTGCTCTGCTCAACTCTGACTAAAGCACGACTACTACACGACGACAGCAACATCAAACCAGAACTAAAGCAGAGCTGACCTGTTTGTAGACTCCTGCTGCCATCTCCTGGTGGGGATAGGGAAGGGGGGGGGGTTGTATGTTTTGTATTTTCTATTAATCTTTTGTTTTGTATTTTCATTTTAATCTATTCCATTTGGCTTCACTGTGATTTCATAAATGGATTCTACATAAAACGTTGCCTTCTTTTAGCCTATAACATTTATATAATGAATAAATCAAACAAAGGCAAAAGCACTTACTCTCATTATCAACCATAACTGCTGTGGAGTAAAGTTTAGAATTCTTGGCCTGAGGCAAAGACACAAGCCAGGCCCTTGTGTGTAACCTCGCGAAACCACAGTCGCACGTCAACACGAGAGCAGTTCCACCGGCAGCCCCAGTATATGGCACGCTATAATGCCACATTTATGCATTAGATAGTCGCGATAGATATAAGGGCTTGGCTCCACTGCATGCATATTTCACTCTACACGAGCGTATATAGTTTAGCAAATCCCCCCAAAAATCCCACTAAGGTTAAAATGTGAATAGAAGGAACAGGACTATAATGTTCTGTCTGTTTAATACAACTGGAGGTTTAGAAACACATGTTTTCAGATTGTGGGTTTACTAATGTTTGAGAGTGCCACTAAGTCTGAATGTAACTCTGAGGTGACTAACCATTGGGTTCATCAGGTCTGGCGTGTCTGCAGATGTTTTGCTTAACTGAAATGTGAGTTTAATTTAAGAGTGATGAACCTTTTTTTTATGCCCCTTGTGGGTTTGCTGTTCTCATGAGACAAACACATGACACATTTTCTTATTTCCAGGTTGTGTGTATGATAACGTGATAATCTATTTGATTTTCAGGTTTTGTGGCTGTAATTTCTGTGCATGCATGTTATGACTAACTACTAACACACTACTAACACTAACCCTGTGTGGCAAGAGCGGCTTTGAGGGTCTGGGCTGCAGGTGCTCTTACCTGTCGTTCTGTGGCTCTGAGCTGGTGGACTATTTAAGCGCTCCCTTCTCAGTCACTCCCCCTATTACCCAAACGCTCTTCCAGGCTTCTCCTGGTGGCCGCTCTGTCCTTCAGCTCAGGTAAATTCCAATTTGTAAGCTCCCATGCACATTACGTCCAAATTTATATCTGTAACAGTCCCTCAGATTCAATCAATTCAACCAGTTTTTGACTAAATTCTTTAGTCTGTCCCCAACACAAAGGAGCCGCTGTTCTAATATGGGATCGAACCTAAACAGGGAACTTGTTGTAAGAAGATTTTCTCCCTCTTTCAACTTGTCCAGCTCTTGGGGAAATGCTTTTTGCTGCAGAAGGCTGATAACTGTGTCTGCATCCTCTTTTCTTTCTTCAGCAGTGTGGACTATTGTTTTTTATTGGTCTGAGTGTCTTTATTGTAGCGATCACTTTGAGCGGTGTTGACCAGTTAGAGAACTTTGTGAGGCGGCTTAGAACGTCACTTTGTTTGTCTGCATGGGTTGCAAGTGTCCTAACCGTTCTGACTTCTGGATCTCCAACTAATAGTTCAGTTGTTGTGTTAGATGGGAATGGGATGTCTGGCTCTCACAGAACTTTGGGCCTGACAACCAATTAGTTGAAATGATTTCTGATGCTCTGAGCCCTCTTGAGGCATGATCTGCGGGGTTATGTGCTGTGTTAACATAATGCCACTGTTTAGGATCAGTTGTTTGCCTAATGAACCTGACACAATTTGAAACAAAAACATGGAACCTTTGTGCCTTGTTATTAATGTAAGCAAGGACCACTTGGGAGTCAGTCAGTCCAGAAGTTTTCTTCATCAACATGCATTTCAAATTCTGTTTTAAGCATTACACGGAGTTTAGCTGAAGTGACTGCAGCTACAAGTTCTAATCGCGGTACACTTATGATCTTTGTGTGTGCGACTCCCACTTTAGCAATCACTAGACTACAGTGGATTTGGTTTGTGTCACTTTTGTATCTCAGGTAGGAGCATGCACCGTACCCTAAATGACTAGCATCACTAAAATAATGTAGCTCAACTCTTACAATGTTCTTTAAATCAGAGAGGTGGTAGCCTCTGGAAACAGTAACAGTCCCTTTTCCATTGCAAACCCCTTTTCCATTGCTCCCACCGGGCACGTAGGTTCTCAGGAATGGGACCATCCGATGCCTCTGCGACATAACTCCTGCAGAATGTTTGTGCCACTCAAAGTGAAAGGGGCTACAAAACCAAGTGGGTCAAACAGGGATGAAATAACAGACAGAATGCTCTTTTGTGCTGGTATTAAAACTGAAAGTGTCATTTTCAATGGACCACTGGATATCAAGCACATGGTCTTCTGAGGCTGTGTCTGGTTTGAGATTAAGCAGTTTAGTAGCATCTGCTCTCTCGGAGGGTTTGAGATGGGAAAGCGCGTCAGTGTAGCTTGAGTTGAAGTTGTGCAGGCGTAAACCTGTGAGTTTGCACAGCTCTTGTTATAAGTTCTCTGGCCTCTTTGACTGTTGGAATACTTGTCAGCCCATCGTCCACATAAAAGTTCCTTTCAACAAAGGTTGAGGTTTTGGGGTAGTCAGATCTGTGCTGCTGTGCAAGTTACTTTTAAGGCCAAAAATAGCGCACCCAGGCGAGGAACCGGTACCATTCTGTATTCTTTAGGTTCTGTGTCTAGCTGTCCGTTTTCCCACCACAAGAATCTCAGATAGTTGCGCATTTCAGCACTGACAAAAAACTGATGGAACATTTTCAGTATGTCATAGATTATTGCCACAGTTTCCCACAATCTATCCACACTACCTTGGCAATCGACTGGTAGATCGCGATTGACGTATTGGGCACCACTGGTCTAGACCTGTTACTTGAGAAATGGCCTCGGCACAACTCTGTAGGAAATCTGCAAATTCTCTAAGTGCTAGGGGGTTGCATTTATCTTTGACCATTTCATAAGCTTAGTTCTGAAAGCTCATTGAACTATGAATGGGCGGCCATATCTTTCCTGTAGTACATCCCAAATGCCCTGATATGCCTGCTCAGAATTATGAAAGAAATACCCCTCTACAGGTTTGTTTCACCTGCAAAATAACATTTAAGGTACAACATTTTCTCATATACAGGTAAAGGTTTACTGCCTATTAATGCCATGAAGAATAGCTACTATGACACTGTTACAGAAGTCTTATGAACTGATGAAATCTGAAATAAGAAAGTTGATTATCTTATTTAGCAAAAAAATGTCTAAAGGAAAAAGGAAAATGAACTGCAGATTGTTACTAAAATTATGGAATTGATTCAGAAATGTATCTTAACTGAGAATGAGCAAACAGAACTTGAACTATGTCAGACTGCTTTAGAAAATGAAAAGTTAATCACAAACTGTGGTCAGTAAATTGTACACCAGGGAAAAGCTTGATGAAAATAAAATGAATTTGTATTGTTATAATGTAAAACAAATCCCTTTTTTTTTTTTTTTTTAAATGTGTGATTTAAAAAAAAAAAAAAAACTTTCTGATGTGATAAGTGCTGCAGAAATATTGAACAGCAACAAATCTCCAGGTAATGATGGCCTGATGAGTGAATTCTATAAACACTCCTTATAGCATTCATAAAGGATCTTTAGCTCTATTCTTAGTCCAGGTTTTTGAAGAAGCTTTCATTTGAAGAAGGTCATTTGCCAACATCACTAAGACAAGGCCTTCTTAAATTAATCCGTGAACCTAAAAAGGACAAACTAAAACTAGAAAACTGGAGGGCAGCCACCCTCACACAAATAATGATGCCAAAATATTTGAATGAATCTTTGCCAAGTCAGGACTGGAGGTCCTCACTGTTGATTAACAGTCAAGTTTTATGACAGGTAGAAGTCTCAAGTAATGTTAGACTCATGTTAGACCTGATGGACTATAATGAATATATAAGGGCAGTCTTAGTGTAGATTTCTATAAGATGTTTGACACAGTCAGTTATCAATTTATGATAAGAAGTTTGGAAACATTTGGCTTGGGAAAGCGTTTTATTGCTGCAATCCAAACACTGTAATAGCTCTGTCAAAATGTTATATAGAACATCTCCCAGGATCAATATCGGACAAGGAATAAAGCAAGGCTGTCTGATCAGTCTCTATCGTTTTTATTTGTTGCACGAATGATGGAGAATCATATCAAATGGACCAGTTTTCGGGGTATCTCCGCCTTAGACAGGGATTTTAAAAGTCTCACAGCTGGCAGATGATACAGATGTATTTTTGAATAATCAAAGAGATGTAAATATAGTGATTAATTGTATGAGAGATTTCTCAGAGGTGTCTGGGTTATTCTGAAATGTATGGTGTCCCTGTAAAAAAGACCTTTGACTTACCTTAGGGTTCCCCTTGATCATAATCAAACACACCACTACAGTCTCAACTTCAACCCTTTAATAAATCAAGTTCTGTCATCTAAAACGCTTAAACGGGACAGGTGTTGTTTCACCGGAACTGACGTATTCGGCCTTAACCCTCTCCAGGCAGGCGTTGCAAATTTGCAACAGCTAAATTCCAATTACCTACTTACTCCACATCCATATTTTATGAGCTTTTTTTTACTCAGGAGCCGTTTCTCCCATCCATGCTGATAAACGTGAACGATGCAGACTGTGCAAGAATGGTTACACGCAAATGGCCTGCAAGAAGTGCAAAATACTTTTTTTGTTTACAAAGGATAAAAAAAGTCAGGATTGTATATTACTACTCCATATGATAATTTTCCCCAAATATCAGATTTTTCCTGATACTAAAAATTTATTTGAGCCTGAGAGGGTTAAAACCAGCCTTTGGAGGCTGCAGCCTTCGAATTGGGACATGGCTATGGTGTGAGCCAAGTCAGATGACAGCTTCAATGAGTGGCTTTAGTAACATGCAGTTAACAGCGTTGTAACAATAGAGAAAGTAATTAGTTAGATTACTCATTACTGAAAATAGTAACAGCACTGTTATTCCCATCACTGTGAGACCACGTGTTTATATTTAAGTGAACTGGAGTGAACAAACCCGAGTAGGAGGTATGTGTGCTCTGTGACTGATACATGGGACACTATCACCAGAGCAGGGTTTTTTTTTTTACAAGATAAAAGACAGACATTATGATTGAAGATTACATACAAATAGGGACAAAGATGACAGGGGTTGGTGACAGTGTGAACCTTATGTGTGTGTCTGTGTGTGTGTATATGCCTGTGTGGGTGTACGTGTGTGCGTGCATATACGTGTGTGTGTGCATATGCGTGTGTTTGTACGTGTGTGTGTGTGTGTGTGCATATGCGTATGTGTGTGCATACGTGCGTGTGTGTGTGCCGGTGGGGATAGACAGGCTATGCGGATGATTTACTGTTGACCTGTGGTATTGCTATTTAATTTGAGTATTGAAAATTTGTTAAGTGTGTGTTGGCGTTTTACCTCAGATCTCCATTCAAGTGGGAGCAGGCCGAGCCACACCCACACCCCCCATGGCGGGTGCGGGGGCCACCCCCAGGGCTCCGCATGCGGCCACCCATCAGCCAGGCCGGCCAGCCCCTCGATGAACCACCTCCTGGTCTGAATGCTCCTCCTCCCTGATATATATGAACATGTGCATACATTCACACGCACACATGCATGCACGCACCTGCCTGCACAGGAACATGCACGCACATCCACATACACACAAGCCTGCACACATACTCACACACTCACCCACATGAACCCAGATTCATCCCTGGTTGACTTGTGATGCATTAAAAAAAAGTTGGGTGTGATGCATTAAAAGTATCAGGGAGGTAAGGAGCTTGGAGGTAGACCAGAGAGTGAAGCCAGCACAGAGGGGAGACCCTGAGGGGACGGGAGAGCACACATCCGGGCACCCATAGGCGGACCCCCACACCCAACAACCAGGCGACAGCAGAGAGGGCCCAGCCCGCTAGGGACCTGAGGCAGATAGCCTCTGTGCTGTGTTCCTAAGTCTATTAAAGTACAATTTTATATAGCCTGTCTATCCCATCCCTGTTTCTTTATAAAATAAAGTGGTGTGTATGGCATTGCGTGTGTTTGTACAGGTGTGTGTGAGTGTGTATGAGTGTGTTATGTGTGTGTGCATGCATGCATGTGTATGTACTCTCAGGACTTCATCTATTTTAATGTCAGGCAAAAGGTGGCATTTTTTTTGACCAGTGTAGTGAGTTCTGTGGAGTACCTTATATTGTATGAGTTGTAGATTTGCATTTTTTGTCATAAGATAAATGTTTTTACAGATCTGGGTCCAGAAGTTGGCATCATGAGTGAGGGAGAGATCTTGTTCCCATTTTATTGACAGTAATGATATAGTTTGGTCGGAGTGAGATATTATTTTATAACTCTGATAGGAGTTTTTTGGGGTTGGGGATATTGATTAATTCTGAGATTGCAGGGGAAAGGCATAGATTTGCTGTACTAGTATTAATTTTTGACTGTACCGAGGATTTGAGTTGTGAATATTCCAGAAACTGATTACTCGTGATGCCGAACTCCTGGACCAGGTATGGGAATGACACCAGGGTGTTATTATGGAAGATGTGTTTTAAATGTGTGATGCCCTTTTGCACCCAGGAGTGAAAATTAAGTGTTTTTTTGTTGCTAAGAAAGTCAGGGTTATTCCAGATGGGGGTGAAGTTAGATAGTGAGATAGCTGAACATGTGATTTTGTGGAATTTCCACCAGGTTGTCAGAGCGGATCCTATGGTTGTTACTTTGAAACACGGATGTCGTTTGATTGATTGGCTGAGAAAGGGGATATCTAAAATCTGAATGTCCTTACAGAGGGTTTCTTCTATGTCTAGCCAGGTGTAATCTGAGTGACTGCGGTGTGTCCATTTGTATATGTACTGTAACTGATTTGACAGAAAGTATTGATAGAAGTGTAGTGCATCTAATCCACCTGTTGCTTTGGGTTTTTGAAGTGTAGTCAGTTTGATCCTTGATCATTGAAAAGAGGTAATTTAGAGCAGAGCAGGTTTTTATTGAATGACTAAACCAGGTCAAACCCAGGACTAAACCAAAACTAAACCAAGTCCTAAACCAGGTCTAATGTCCTGGGCCTAGTGAGTGTGTGGGCTCTGTGGTGGACACACAGAACACTATAAGAGCAGAAGCTTTTATTACACAGCAGTGGTGATGAACACATGAGCAACACAACAAAACAGAAAGACCGGGAGTCCAACCCGGAACCTTCTGGCTGTGAGGTGAGAATGCTAACCACTCAGTCACTGCGCTGCTATTATTATTCCTATAAACGAACATTTAATTCATACTTTAGACACTTGTTTGACGGAGTGTACATTCGCCCAGTTAGAAACCAGAAATCATACATTGGATATTCCACACATAACAAGTCTGTACAAAATGTGCAACAATCAGAAAACATGGTACACTGTCTAAACAGTGGGCCAGCACAGAGGAGAGGGCCATACTGACTCTATGTATGTATTATTTAAAGTGCATATGACAGCTTAACTACTCATTTCTCAAAAACTTTGGTGACATCACTAAATTTAAGCATAGTCTTTTCTAGTTTTATAATTAGTCAAGGTTATAATTTTACTTCCTGGTTGGAGACGGACAGCAGATTTGACAAAACAAATGACAACACCTTTATTTTGTGAAATTAGTCTTTAAACTCTCAGAAAAATGCCTTCCTTTCCATTTCCTGTGTAAATTATGGGATTCTGTAGTATTTACTGGTATTCCTGTATTTTACAACTTTTTGTGTTCTACGTTTCTTCACAAACTACCGTTTCACTGATGTCAAACTATCACACATATTGAGCACAGGTACTATCCCACCAAACCAAGGCAAAATTTGAAAAATATATTCATCTGTCAAATGCACTTTAAGAGAGGTTTTTATAGTGATTCAGGGCAGTGATTTTAGTTTAAAGTTGCACTAAGTCACTTTTCTGAAGAGCGGTCTGCTACCTGCTTGTCTCCATGGAGATGTAACCGCTTTGTCTGAAATGTTCCACAGTATGGCATTAAACTTATCCATCTTTTCATATTTTACTACAGGTGTACAACAATTACAATTTTTTGCTCAAAAAATACTTGAAAAACATGTATTATGATTTTCCTCACATATCTGACCTCTACCTTTGCTTGTCCCTGTGGATCTAGATAAGTTTAATGCCATACTGTGGAACAATTTAGGCACAGCAAACACATCTCCATGAAGATAAGAAGGTAGTGGAGCCATTACTAGTAAAGCCACATAATCACATAGTGCAGCTTTGATGAAGCTCTATGTTGAAACCCAGATACACGCCTGGTCCCCACCCACTCAGAGGCTAACCAATAGGAGTACTGATCAGTCTTGAGTGACAAGTGATATAACCATTCACAGAGAAGAAACAGGAGAGAGCTTTAGTTACCTGTTTTATGTTTTAAACCATATGGCCCACACCTCCTTAAAGTGCATATGACATGTTATACTGCATATTTCACTCAAATATAGTATCATTATATTTAAGATTTTTAAGAAAATCTTGACTTTTTTAAGTTTTAAGTTTTTAAATGTTGGTGTTTATAATTTTACACAGTAGTTCTTCCTGTATTTTTCTGCTTTTCTTCTAAACATTTTTCCACAAACTGCCACAGCCGCTGATGTAAAACTGTGATAAATATTTAGCACAGGTAATACTCACCAAACCAAATCACAATTAGAAAAACATGAAAACCTGTCATATGCACTTTAATATGCCTTATCACTCTTCTGCTGCTATAAACACACTCGAGTTGACACAGTCCTCTGCTGTGTTCACTTCAAAGCCCATTTCAGAATATACTTTCCCTTTAACCTTCAAAAATATCCACTGTACACAATTATCTCACATATTTGTACATTAACTGCATTTACACAAGTATCTCCACAGTGCCCCCAGTGGGCTATGTCACCACTGCAGACATGAGCACATGATGCTAGTATTGTACAAGTGTCTCTTTGAGTTATATTTACCATGGCTAAACATGAACTTTATTGAAGTAGCTCTATTTTGCTTATATCCATGTTATAATGCTGTTTATTTGTTATGTTCTATTTTGAGAGTTCCTCTGTATTCAGGCCCATTCCATCGCAAAAGCTGTTTTAAACCAGATTCACTCATTAGAATACTACTCAAGCAGAGACAGGAAACATTATAGAGTAGTTAAAAGCACAAGTTGGCTGCTTTTTTAAAAAGGTGCAATACGGAACCTTTCTGGTAGAGGGTCTAACTTTAGCTCCTCTGTATGGAGGGGTTATTAAACTAATCTAACCAACTATACAGAGACAAACAGGTGGTGTCTCTCCAAGATGACTTAAAAGTCAGCTCAGTGCAGGGGTGACCCCTTGTAGTGAAATAAACACTAGATCATCTGTAGAAGCACTATCTAGTCACTAGGAAAGTAAGTATTTCATTGGAGGTCTGGCTTCACTTTCTACAGAAAAAGTGTGTTCTCTCTTTTTACAACTGTCACTCAGAGTTGTCAATTTGTCTTAAAATGGGGGTTTTAAACCATTCTATATGATCCTGGGGATTATTTCATTATTTTGTCCATAAATCTAAATGTGAATATTAATTAACAGAGGCAACTTCTTTCACTGAGGTCAGCTCCTCCAACCATGGTTAACAACAGCTTTGATTGACAACTAAGATGTCCTGTTGCTAGGCACCTGCCTCCTGCCAAATCAAACTGTATTTAGATACAGTCTATGTGCTAGATACATTTAAAGCCATACTGGAGCATCCCAGGAAAAGTAATAACCCTCCACCTGAAAAGTTACATAGTGAACCTTTAAAAGAGGGGGAGGGATATGGCTCTGGCAGAGGAGCAACACAGTCTGAGGAGGGGAGGGGCTGAGCGCACATGCACAGTTTCCACTTTTCTGGAGGAGTGGGCATGCTTCCCTTAAGTCCCTCTGCACACTTAGTCTGATGTCCTGCTTAGACCTTATATCCACTCTGGTCGTGGCTGTCCTCTGTCCAGCCCCGTGCCTTGCTCAGGTCGTTGCTGTCCTCTGTCCACCCCCATGTCTCGCTCAGATCGTGGCTGTCCTGTGTCCACTCCTGTGTCTCTCTCTGCAGTAGGCTGTCCTCCGGCACGCTCAGGCTCACGTACACGATGGACACCAGGCCTCGAGATGTTCCCCGCGAGCAAAGCAGCGTGTCGGGGTCGCTCCGATGCAGCACCGTCAGGACGTCTCCTTGGCGGAAGCTCAGATGCCCTGGCTCTGTGGGCTCATGGTGGCATAGAGCTCGCACCACACTGCAGAGCACAAGCACACAGCAGCACGTTAAAGATAATGGTACATGCACGTTCTGGTACATGTGTGTTAAAGATAATGATACACACATGTTAAAGATAATAGTACACATGTATACTCTTTCTTAAAGCAGATCTATTATGCAAAATGGACTTAATGGTTGTTTGAGCAAATCCCTTTCATCTAAAACAACATGTGGATTATTTCTGTTTCATCACCAATTGATTAAAGATTGATTGATTGAATATGAAGATTCAGATCAGAAATGTCCTTTGTGAGGGTCATTCTGATTTCAAAAAATATGTATCTCCCAAGGATTCCCAAGGAAACCTACGGTAGTGAGGCACGAGCAGCACTGGTGATGGCGTCGTATTTGGGGGTGGACTGGCCTGGGGCTGGGTGCGAGGGGTGTGGGGCTGGGTGGGTGGGTTCTGCAGTCACATCTGCTGTGGCTCGGTTCTGAGGCCTCTTCTCACTCCCTGCACTGATGCTCTGTGCCACACGAGAGAACACAGAGCTGTCCAAGTGCAGCCAGCCCGAGGGAGCCCTGGACAAGAGAACACAAGACCGTGCACATGTAAGTACACGTTAGTACACATGTAAGTACATATGTTAGTACACGTGTATATACACATGGGCCCGGTCAAGCAGAAGTTTACAGCAAGGCCAAATATTCAAGTTAATACATCTGATATAAAATGTATTCAACAGTACATATGCTAATATGTACTCTAGTTTATGAAACTGTTGACCTTTTTTCTGTACCATTTTTGGTTCTAAAGTTCCATATGTTTTAAACAGACCATGTATGAAACATGGAACAAAAATTATTTCCCAAATTTCAAAGACCTGCAAATCATGTCAATAAATGGATGTATTTCATCATATCTTGTGTTATTCCATCTTTGAACTGTTGATGAAGGTACATGATTTCTCAACAAAAAAGTATTTAAAATGATAAAAATTTGCTTGGAAGGACTGACATATTTTATAGAAATTGTTTTCTTTCATTTTGAAGTAATATTAAAGTATTCAGAAGAAAAAATTGACAAATTATGCAAAATCATGCACCTTCTACTTGTTTGTACAATTTTCCCTCCGTTACTTTTCCCTCCGTTACCATGACCTTTCTTCATAAAAAATCTCATGACTCAAAAAGTAAGAGGTTTTTCAACCTAATCTTGTACCATATGGTAGAAAACTATATGAAGCAAATATTCAAACCAGTTTGTTAAGGATATGGAAGTGAGAACCACCAGTTATCACTGTTTGTATTTATTGACCAAAAAGTGCTGCATATTTCATTCCCTCCGTTACCGACATGAGTTTTTAAATTTTTGTCAACAACTTCAAAGAATATCACAGGTTTAACTTGACCCTGTTGGAGTGTAACTCTTTCCTACATTCTGATACTTTACTTATTTCAATAGTCCCTCTAGTTTCTGAATAAGAGCTATTTGAATGTAAAAAATCTGCCCGTTTCCTTCCGTTACCGCTTGACCAGACCCACATGTAGGTACACATGTGGAGTGCAGCATCAGGAGTCTCATTATCCTTCCATATGATCTGACCACTCTGCAGTATCTGACTATGTCTCAGCTTGGGACTAAATGGCTGTGCTGTACTCTCATGAGGGTTTTACCTGCTTTTGGGGGCTTTTTTCCTCGATGCCCGACCCTCCTGCGAAGAGCTCCCTGTAGCTCCAAAGAGGTACCCCCAACGCAGCCCCTGGTTCTCCACAGATGAGTCTCTATCATGGTTCAGGGCGCTCTCTGGAGGACTGCCCATCCAAGACAACCTTCCTTTAGGGACTACAGAAACGCCGTCAGAGCTGCAGTGGATGGGCCCTAACTCCGCCCCTTCCACCACCCCCTCTCTGGTGGGTGGGGCCTGTCTCTCAGCAGATCGCTTCCTTCTCTCTGCTTTGGTGAACTTGGAGCCCTGTGTGGACTGATCGATGTAGACCTGGGAGGACTGCATGAGCTGATACCACCAGCCTGACTGGCCCCCCTCCTTGGCCTTGTGGCAGGTACTTCCTCCTCTGATAGTGCCCAGGGGTTCAGCTGCAGGATCTGCCTCGCCCTCACCTCTAGCTTGGCCACGCCCACATGGGGAAGAGCTCCGTCCCCTCATAAGCTGGAAGGTGGAGCGCTCTGATTGTTGGAGGCTGTGAGTGTTGCCGCAGAGCAGCTCTTTACGGCGCAGGTGCTCCCTCCCCTTCTGCAGGAGGCGGGGCTCAAACAGCAAGTCCAAGTCAAAGGGCAGCAGAGCCAGAGGCTGCAGCAGCAACAACAGCTCCTCAAACAGGGCCCGGCATGGCCCCTGGGACAGTGCCAGGAAGCCCCAAGGCTGGTAGTGCGCTGCAGTCATGTCTAAAATTAAAAAACACAAATCAGTACAATTCTAACAAGATCAAGAACACAGAGACACATGCACCTCATTTCCACTCGCTTGGGGTGGCCTTGGCATGGAATGGAAGTACTCCCTGACCAGGAAGTGCTTACATTACGACTGGCTTGAGCATGACACAGATCTAGTAAGACACAACCAATGGTGTAACGTTGACCTTCGCTGCCATGAGCCGCTGGACAGCTCTCAAAAGAGCAGCGCTACACGAGCATCAACACTGATCCATGTTCAGATATAACACAAAACAAACACAGCTATTCCTTATGTGGCTTTATTTGCTTAAGTTTCACTTTGTTTTCTCCATATATGCGGCTCTTTACCGAAGGCAAGCTGTGGAGCAGATGCTCTTTGTTTTGATAAACAACTGTACTCTTTTACTACGCGGTTACCTGGACGGAGGAGGAGGATTATGGTGAACTTTACACAGTCTCGTTTGGCTTCATCTTTACACACACGCATCCAGACTGGATATTTACTACACCACATTTAATTTGGAATTATGCTATTACCAGGACAGAGATAGAAATTGCAGCAGCTACTGAGGGCAGCGCACGCTCATTTTTATGTTTTTGACTGCAAGTATAAATGGTTTTCACAAAAATTGACAAAAGACAATGCTATGCTAAACCACTATGTACACAGTATAGTAGTGGCAAAAAACATTGATTTAGTGTTTAGTTCAACATTAAAGAGACGTACCTTCATGTGTGTGCAGCACACTGAACCACAACTCCAGGGACTTGAGACTGGAACACAAAGAGAAATGAGCCACGAGCACTCACACACACACACACACACACACACACACACACACACACACACACACACACACACACACACACACACACACACACTGAGACGTACTTGAGCAGGCCCATGATGAAGGCGTTGAGTCTCATGGAGGGAGAGGTGAGCTCTGAGTACTGGCTGATCTTACAGAAGAGGCTGTGGAGCAGGCGGGTGGATGGACCTGCAGCACACACATGGATAAAGTTCCAACTCAACATTATACAAAAGTTATGTCAAAAGTATTGAAAATCATATATCAATCAATACTAAAACTAGTATCAAAACTAGATACTCATTTGAGCAGGTGTCAATACTAAAAAAGTCCCATTCACAGGACAGAAATGAACCTTTCCTGAACAGCTTTAGAATGATCTTGAGCTGTATCAGAACACATATGAGAGTACATAGACTAATGGTGCTGGTCTAGTTTTTTTCCACCTGAGACGCTAATTGCTATTTTGTTTCTGTGTTCATGCTTTCTTGTGTTGTGGCTCCTTTAAGGAAGGAATAGTTGTATCAGTAGGTCATGTGACATTAAAATCAAGAAGTTCAGTAAAGCGTGGCTCTGAGAGGTGTTGTTTTTCATCAAGTTAATCCAAACTCATCTACATACATCTTATGCCTTTGGTAGCATCGTGGGTGTGTACAGTTTATTTGTTATAATATCTTCATTTGAATATGATTATTTGATGGGAAATAGTAGGCTATTGGGTTGAAAAGAGAAGTTATAAATTGATAATGCCGTACCATGTTGAATTGCTCTATAGTCATTTTGGTTCATGTGAATGTTTTTTTAAGGGGTATAATTGTATGTTTGGTTTCATGTAACATTTCATTTGGAGTAACAAATATAAAAAGTTAGTCTCCATGTCCAGAGATCCGGTCGTCGAGGTCCCCGCCTTCAACCACCAACCAGATCTCCTAGCACCGGCCCCTTATGGCTCCTCCCGCAGCTGGTGGGCCCATGGGAGGGTGGCCCCACGTCACTCCTTCGGGCTGTGCCTGGCCGGGCCCCGTGGGGGAAGGCCCGACCACCAAGCGCTCGCCGTCGAGCTCCCACCCCAGGCCTGGCTCCAGGGTAAACGGACAAAGGAGCAACGTATCTGGCCTTGTTCGTACACTCAACATAGGGGCTTCTGGACCGCCCTTCATCTGACCTGTCCCCCTGGACCTATTTGCCTTGGGTGACCCTACCAGGGGAATGAAGCCCCCGACAACATAGCTCCCAGGATCATTCGGGCACTCAAACCCCTCCACCACGATAAGGTGACAGTTCAAGGAGGGGAGGTCAAGTATCTCGGGATCTTGTTCATGAATGAGGGGGGGATGGAGCATGAGATTGACAGGGGGATTGGTGCAGTGTCTGCAGTGATGCGGTCGCTGTATCAGACCGTTGTGGTGAAGAGGGAGCTGAGCCGAAAGGCAAAGCTCTCGATTTACCGGTCAGTCTTCGTTCCTACTCTCACCTATGGTCATGAGCATTGAGTAAGGACCGAAAGGACAAGATTGCAGATACAAGCGCTCGAAATGAGTTTCCTTCGCAGGGTGGCTGGGTGCTCCCTTAGAGATAGGGTGAGGAGCTCGGTCACACGGGAGGAGCTCGGAGTAGAGCCGCTGCTCCTCCACGTCGAGAGGAGCCAGTTGAGGTGGCTCGGGCATCTGTTCTGGATGCCTCCTGGGCACCTCCCTCGGGAGGTGTTACGGGCATGTCCCACCGGGAGGAGGCCCCGGGGAAGACCCAGGAAACACTGGAGGGACTATGTCTTTCGGTTGGCCTGGGAACGACTCAGGGTCCCCCCAGAGGAGCTGGAGGACATGTCTGGGGTGAAGGAAGTCTGGGAGTCCCTGCTTAGACTGATGCCCCCGCGACCCGGCCCCGGATAAGTGGAAGAAAATGGATGGATGGAAATATAAAAAGCTAGAAAATATTGTATATTAGAGATATATAGTCTGTTTGTGATTGGACACGCTGCATTCATTTTTCATTTCTTGTTGTGTACATGTTAAAGGTGCATATTGTGATTTATGTTTTCAGTTGTCTGTTTCAGTTTCACCTTTTCTTGCCACGTCAATAAACCTGTAGACAAGGAGATAACATCTTCAGAGTCTTGATGTCAAGAAGGAGTTTAGCTGTCTCTCTAAACTTTTGCTATCACATAAATGTTGCACAGTATTTAGTAACACAATTAGGCTCTAGTTTAAATAGATTAGAGGAGTTACAAGTGTCGTAGAATCCAGGTGAGCTACAGTAACAGTTATGCAAAGTGTATCTGTGTGTTACCTGGTTGTGTAGAGGCCTCCACCAGGCTCCAGGGCCCACAGCGCCTCTGCCCGATGATCAGGTCCCTCACGTAGGGCTTGAGTCCGTCCTGCAGCACACTGTGGAGGGCTGGGCACAGGTACTTAAGGATCAGGTGGCCCACGTTTGGACTTACCCAGCTGTTGCCCAGTTTGCTCTGCAGGAGACAATGTGCCGTGGTGAGCAAAGGGATGGAACTATACCCAGATTTGACCATGTCATGTAAGCACAGCATTCAGCTCACAGTAACAGCTCAGTGATATTTGCAGACAGGAAGACAGTATGTCAGTTGTGTTGTTGTTTTTGTTGTTTTGTTACAAGTTGAGATAAAAGCACAGACCTCTTCCTTGTCCACAAATGCACAAAGAGCTTCCTTCTGCTAATTTTTCACACACAAAATAGTCTGTATTTTTGTTAAAATAGGCCGTCTATATAACCATGTTTGTTTTGGTTTGCTGGTGCCAAGCTGGGTTCTTTACCTTTGACTTCCACACAAACATCAATGTTGCTCTGTCATTGTGCACCAATAGCGGGGCAGGGTCTACCATACCATTGAGAGCCTGCCAAGAACTCAATATATCATGAAAATCTATCTTGCGGTAGTAGTTTGGACAAGCATTAAATGGAAAAGTCTCAGGACAGTAGTAGCATGGAAATAGGATAGAAACAGCCTAACTAAAAGTGCAATCCTGATGTCCTTAATAAACATAAATTAAAGAAAAACAAAAAGTCATTCAATTTAATGACAATATTAAAAATCTAGAAACTAGAAATACACTCGGAGCCATAGCTTGCCGTGTGCCCTAGCACAGATGCTTTGATATGCCCCATGGAAATCAAGGAGATTCTGTGCCGGCAAAAGTGGTGGTGGGGGAGGTATTCCATGGCGGTAAAACTGAAGACTCTGGAGATGTCCACAAGCACTGGGTGCCGTACACACTGCGTGTAATGTGCTTCATGGGAGCTACAGCACTGAATGCACTGACCCAGCTTTTTCAGTTCTTTTTACTTTACTTTTTGCTTTAAGTAGCTGTAAATATGTAATATCACCTATTTCAAGTCTATAAACTGGCAAAAACAATCTGTAAAAAAAAAGTGTAATTGTTCAATTGAATAATTTAGTTGTGTCCACAATGAAACAAATTAATGGAAAGTCTGACCTTAACATCTGGGTTCCGTGTGGTGCCGAAGTGTGCCACAATCAGGTCTACAGCTGTGTTCACCGCCTTCACCAAACCTGACCAGGGCCAGAACAGCAGCACTCAGTACATCAGTACTTCACACATTGTACAAAGATATGCAGCCATAAGTTGTGTTTACTTTAAACCAGATCCAAGTCACATTTTTCACATTATTAAACAACTTTGTAAATCCCTGTGATGGTTAAAAACATGTCTCCTTATAATATATAATATATATTATATATATATGAGATATATATATATATATCTCATAATTTCCACAAACTGTCGCTGAACTGATGTAAATCTATGATAAATAAGCTAAGTCACCCCCCTTCAGTGTCAGAATCACAACACAATCAGCATGAATCCTACTACTGAAATTACTGCACATTGCATCAGGTTTGTCAAGTTGCTGTGTACAGGGTACAGAGTTTGAATAGGGCCTAGGAGAGATTGCCAGATTACTTAAACATGCATGGTTGACATCATAAAGCAGGCCTTCAGGGCTGAGTGTTTAGTACATGCACAGGGAGCATGCATGATGAAGGCCAGACCTTTCTTGTGCAGCAGATCCACAGACAGGTGAGGCTGGGAGCTGCAGTGAGATGATGTGTCCGGAGACAAGCAGAACTCCTCAGGAGGTTTCTCTGTCAAACCCAGATAATCCAAGCCACAGTCTGAGAAACAAACACAAACAGATTCATGGGTCAAACAAACACAAACAGATTAATGGGTCAGCACTGTGGGCAGAGGAGGAAGAGCAGGCCTCACCTGCAGCCATTTTTACAGATAGTGAAGGAAATATATACATATTTTTGTATTATTTCATAAAAGCAATAAAGTAATGTTCAGATCTTAACTTTAAAGAAGACATTGTGCTTCTGTCTCCCGTATAGTTATTATCTATGAATGGAACATTATGTTACAGGGACATTTTATTTGGACATTTTAGTGACTCTGCAACTGCTTTTATAACTTTAACAACTTTATTTATAACGCATTTTAAAAACAACGTAAAACACGATGAAAACGGGTAGATCAGTGCAATGACGTCTTGAATACAGGACAATAAAGATTACTCACACATGCATGAATCACTCTGAATTCAGAGGACCAATGAAAAGGGAAGGAAACTATAATATGGTTAAAAGTTCTGAAAAGTCACAGAATAGGAATACTTTAACAGCTATACTGGTCATTAATTCTGGACAAATCATTTTATACACTAAAGTGTTAATGTTTCGGATCTCAAGCCAATTACCACAATTAAGTTACCACTGAGAATAAGTACACAAAAGTATTTGTGTAACTAGAATGTCAACCTGGGTTAAATCTAGAACACATATGATGCATTCATTAAGTCTCTTTTAAACATGCTGCTTTTATTCACCGTGGGAGAAGTCGTTCACATTTTCTAATTTTAAACAGCATCTGCATTTTAAAAATGTATTTAAACTTCACCTCCGTTTCCAATTAGGCATTTAGGCATCAGCAGAGGGAGTAGCAGGAATAAACAATGGGAGACTGAACAACTGAAGATATCAAAATTCATCATCTATGACACAACAAAACAACTTAATGGGTTATTCAAAAATGAAGCAAAAAATACAGCTCCAGGTATGTTTTTGGTGAGAAAAACATACATATATATATATATATATATATATATATATATACACACACACACACACACACACACACACACACACACATATATACACAGTATATACATATGTATACTAAGCTCTATTCAAACTAGTCCAAATAACAGTTATCATCTTTCAAAAAGCATGAGAAGGGGCAGCACCGTTGCGCCTGTCCTGGACGTGTGCTGGAGGGAAGTCAAATACGTTGTGTCGGACTGGTCTCTGCGCTGGGCCCCCAGGGGCCAGGGGGTTCCTTCGCCGGTACTCTCTCCATTTGAGCGCCTGAGGAGAGAGGTGGTGTGCTGGGGTCGGGTTAGGGGGCAGGTGGAGTGACAGAGCAGATGATGAAGAAGAAATGACAAACATGAGGAATTAGAGAAGACAAAGGCACATCGTTCATCTATCTATCATATCACATCTATCATACAATACTCTTACCACAAAAAAGCTCAGAAAGCTTTTATTTTGTAACAAAGTTTTAAATTATTAGTTTCAATAAGTATGACTGGACAGCACATATGTGGTCCAGAGAAAAAAGATGAAACAACAAAAAAAAAACATTTTATGTGGATAGTTTCCTTCAACACACAGCCATGTGTGTACTCTTCACTTCACTGAGCAACACTGGTCAGATCTGGCCTGCCTCCTTTGCATACACTGTGGAGGAGTTCATCTGAATCAGGTTCTGATCAAACTAGTACCATTTTACATCAACACAAACGAGCATGGGAGATTCTCAGACACACCCACAGGAGACAGACCTGAGAGCAGAGGACACTGAGCACAAGCACATACCATGACAGCGGGCCGGGGTGCCTCTGAGCCCAGTGGACTCTTCGTGGCCCAGGGGGCTGAGCGTGTCTGCCGGCTGGAGGACTTGTCCCTGTAGGGTGGACAGTGTGGGGAGCACAGCTCCTCTCTTGGCTGCCAGTGAGGATGGAGGAGGGGTTGAGGGGCCTTGCTTCACCAGGACAGGGCTCTGCTGGGGGGCCCTTTCCAAAGGTGCAGAGCATTGGGAGGTGACAGAGCGCTGAGTCCCTGCTAACTGCGCAGGAGAGTAACTGCCAAGTGGGGAGGGCCGCACCGATCCATCAGGGGGAGCCACTGAGGGGCCCCGCTGCCGGAGGGGAGGGTACGCTGCAGCAGACACAAACATGTCATCTTCTCGCTCCCCTCCAGAGTCTGAGCCAGAGCCTGAGCTGGAGTGGACTCCCGCCATGTGGCCCAATGGCACAGGCAGCATAGGCACCAGGGCCCGTGGAGCTTTGTTCGAAAACTGGTGCTGAAAGGTGAAGGGCTGGATGGGCAGAGTGGTGGGCCGCTGCTCCTTACTGTAGCGAACCAATGAGGACTCTGCACCTGCACACAACACAGCATTTGTACTGTTACATTCAGTATGTCAGTACAGTGTTGCCTTAGTCAAGTTTCAGCTGCTAAATTCATTTTTCTCCCAAATACATTTAATCACATGAAATGCTTCATGGACCTTCTCCCAATGCTCTGCTCTCAGGCAAGCGCCTGATGGAAAAGGAATCAAACAAGTTTAACAACTTTTGATCTTACCCCCAGTACCCACTGTGCATCCAGACACTGTCTGTACCTCCAGACACTGTCTGTACCTCCAGACACTGTCTGTACCTCCAGACACTGTCTGTACCTCCAGACACTGTCTGTAACTCCACACACTGTCTGTAACTCCACACACTGTCTGTAACTCCACACACTGTCTGTACCTCCAGACACTGTCTGTACCTCCACACACTGTCTGTACCTCCAGACACTGTCTGTACCTCCAGACACTGTCTGTACCTCCACACACTGTCTGTACCTCCAGACACTGTCTGTACCTCCAGACACTGTCTGTACCTCCAGACACTGTCTGTTGCTCCACACACTGTCTGTACCTCCAGACACTGTCTGTAACTCCACACACTGTACCTCCACACACTGTACTTCCACACACTGTCTGTACCTCCGCACACTGTACCTCCACACACTGTACCTCCACACATTGTACTTCCACACACTGTCTGTACCTCCACACACTGTACCTCCACACACTGTACCTCCACACACTGTACCTCCACACACTGTACCTCCACACACTGTACCTTCACACATTGTACCTCCACACACTGTACCTCCACACACTGTACCTCCACACACTGTACTTCCACACACTGTCTGTACCTCCACACACTGTACCTCCACACACTGTACCTTCACATACTGTACCTCCACACACTGTACCTTCACACACTGTACCTTCACACACTGTACCTCCACAAACTGTCTGTAGCTCCACACACTGTCTGTTGCTCCACACACTGTCTGTAGCTCCACACACTGTCTGTTGCTCCACACACTGTCTGTTGCTCCACACACTGTCTGTTGCTCCACACACTGTCTGTAGCTCCACAAACTGTCTGTAGCTACACACTGTTTGTAGCTCTACAGGGCCACAGGGAAGTAGCAAGCAGATGGCTGTGTGTTTACCTCAGCCCAGTGTGTGATGGACAGGTGCAGCTGTCTACAGCACCGTCCACCAAGCTACAGAGTGGAGGGGGCAGGATTTGGGTAGTCAGTTTCTATGTTGAAATTAGGCCTGGGCAATATGGGAAAAAAAGAATCAAAATTTTTTCACCCATATTGATCTCAATTTTCCATTCAATATTCTTCCATCTAACTGAAAACATAGACAGGTGGGCTTCAGGCATAAAGAGCAGAGCATCAGGGTCACTAGTTTTTATTTTGTGTTGATAGGATCAACAATCCACAATGTCTTAAGGCTAAAATCATGTGCATGTTATCACTAGCAGTAAAAGTGCCGGCTACATACAGTTCCTTTAATAACTAAAACCAAATGACCATGACAGCGCTAACATACATTTTCTAAAGTATCCTAAATGGAAGGTGAAGCCAATACAAAATAAAACTAATTCAATAATAATCACGGTTAGATATTGTTAAAATGGTAAATACATTCTTGGATAATGATGACCGTTATGATCTACAGAGTGCTTTCGTCCTAGTTTTAGTAACTTATGATGGGCTTACATTTTATTTACGTTTCTGTCAGCCAAATTATTACAATGAAAAAAATGAAATATCTGCCAGAATAAACAATGATAGAGCATAGGAAGCCAACAAGAGATTTCAAAACCAACAATCACCAGCAGAGGGTGGCATACCTTGAACCATGTGCTGTGCATGAGGCCCCTCATTGGTAAGAGTAGCGGGCCCCTGACTGTGAGGGTGGGCCTCCAGCTCCAGACTGTGCTCTTGGATGGGGAAGTGGTCAGCAGAGTAGTGTGAGGAGGCAGTGGCATGGCAGGGCTCGGTCAGAGACTTGGCAGAGGGAGAGTGAAGCACAGCTCCAGCGCGACGTTTGCTGCGGGCGATCTCTGCAAACGATGTCACTCTGGGGGGCGGAGTCTGTGCTGGAGCCCCGCCCTCACTCAGTCTCATGGGACAGCTCAGCATCCTCTCCAGAGAAGCCAATGGTGGGCCCTGGCACACGTCCAGGCTACGGTCATAGCTGCGGGAGCGTGGGCGTCCCTCTCCTGCACGGCGAGGAGCCTTGTTCACATAGAGCTGTCCCTCCACACCAGCACCATCCTGCTCCTCCTCCTCAGTTTCCTCCTGCTCAAAGGACATGAAACTCAGTATTTGAATCTTTTCTCAGAGGTAGGAGAGGAAAGACTCCTAGGTCTAGAGTGTTTATATGTGCTGAATAGACAAGTGAGACAATGAATAAATGCACTAACATGCTCAGAGGTAAATGACCCAGACCCACACTGTTATGCATTAGAAGGTACACACTAACCTGAGCGTTCTCCTGCTCTTCCTCCTCTGCCTCCTCTTCCTCCAGGCCCAGAGGCTGCTGTCTGAACAGGTAATAGTGGTTGGGCTGGTGGGGCTGGCTGGGTGTGGGACTGCCGCGGCTCTGTTCGTCCGAGCTGTTGGTGCTGGAGGGGGCAGGGCTGGGGGAGGATTGGGGCAGGTCACATGTCACCAGTTTGTAATAGTTTTGAGTGGCCACTACCAGCCGCGCCTGGCTCTGCACACAGGGGGCCTGACTCTGCACACAGGGAGCCCGGTCTGAGTGGCCTGAGGGGGGGCACGAGTTACAGTTAGCATCCAGATCAAAGGCCTGGTGCTCAGCTGAGCAGGAGGATGAAGTGGACAGAAGGGGCTCTCGCAGCAGAGGAAAAAGCTGTGGTCGTGTGGGCTCTGTGGGGGAGCAGTGGAGGTCCAGGTAAAAGGTCCCACTGTCCCCTGAAAGGTCAGGGAGCCTGTTCTGGTTAGTGTCCCCACACCACTGTGGCTGCTCTGGGACGGCATTGTTCAGTTTGCTGTAGATGGCACTGAAGTTGACCAGGACTCCGTCAGAGCTGTTGCAGGAGGAGTCACTGCCATAGGCCTGGCTCTCACAGTGTCGCCCACAGCCATGAGGTATTATGTGCTCCTCGTCCTCCTCGTCATCGGCCCAATCGTGCTCTCCACAGTCCATGGATACATTTGAGCCGCTGCTGAGAGGGCGCTGTGGCTCCAGGGGTGAGAGCACGGGACCCCTAGAGCTGTGCAGATGGAAGGGCTCAGAGGAGTAACTGTGGAAGTCTGTGGTGTCTCCATGGAGCTCAAAGGAGCAGTCCTCCTGGTACCCGTTCAGTCCATCTCCCTCATCCTCCTCACCGTCAGGCCTGCAGAAGAAGGGGTTGTGGCGCAGCATGGGCCTCTGACGGCTCTTCACTCTGGGCAGAGTGTGAGCTGTGATCTGATCCTCTGAGTTACTGGAGGTGAAGGAGGAGGAGTCACTGGCCATGCTGTCCCCTCTAGTACTCTTGCGCTCAGTTTTGTGGTGGGAGACCCAGGTTCCATTGGAGGTCGGGAACAGGCTGCTGTAGAGCAGTGCCTCCCCATGAAGAAGGTCTCTCTCAGGGAGCGAGGTGGTGCGGCTCAGGCCCAGGTTCTCAGGAGGAATAAAGGGAGCGTCTCTCAGAAGGGACCGTGTACAGCCCCCTTTGTGACCCCCTGACACCTGGCAATGCATCAGTGGGATGTGGTGGACTATGAGGGTCTCGCCAGACAGCTTTGGGGGGCTGTCCATGGTCCACGGTATAGAACAGACTGGCGTGGGTAGCTTCACATAGATGGGATCCCCGGGATATGGACAGGGTCCTGGAAGTCCACCAAATGGTTGAAACAGTCCATCTGTGGAGACAGAGGAATTATTTGTATAAAATAATAAGTGCTGTGGTCCTGTTCTGTGAATGATTCCATGAGTGTCAGAGTAAGGATTACATTGTACATTTGACCACAGCCTCTGAAACGCTCCAACTACACACAGCACACTGCTTTTCTGATCGTAACATCTGACTGTGTAGAAACTAAGCTGGAATCTCATTTTGTGAATAAATGTATTAAAAACATACCCTAATCTTTCACAATGTAAATGTATTAAATGTAGACCTTAAAAACTGCAATAAAAGGTTAATTATGGACAGCTCCAGACTATAGGCCTATGCATCCTCTGGGACTGTGGGGTAGCGCAGACTCGGCGTTGTTGACTCCAGAATGACTTCAAGATTAGTAATAGTAATGGCTAAAATGACGATGAAGACTGCACAAATTTTTGTTAAACTTCTTCGTGTAGAGCACAGACAGACGACGTTTGGTTCAGTTCGGTGTTGTAGCTGATTTCTCCGTACAGAATGTGGATGTTTACGATCATGTCGCCAGTGGAATTAAAGAGCTTTTATTTTGAGCAGCGTCGGAAGTCATGGCGCTGTGGCGTTCTCCAGCTTACTGCCGCTGTCCCACAACAGTCAGAACATAACACAAATAACATCAAATAACCAAACCGCGTTCATCGGAAGCGACACCAAACGTTCGTACGTGTGTGCCAGACTGACGCCATAATCGCAACATTATCGGGCGTTTTCTCGGGTGGTGACGGTGATGTAACGGTCTCGCTGACGCCCGTGCCAAAGACGCTTTGTGCGTAAAGGGAGTAAACGTGTCGGGACAAAATGGCCATGAGCAGCTCTATGCCTGTCCACGCAGCGTGCTGGAGTTCGAATGGTGCTGTGTGTACAGTAGGAGACCAGCACACGGGCCTGCGCTGCGCCTCCTCCTGATGCGTTTTTCCAGCATCTTCTGTCGCACAAACGGTTCTGCTCTCAAACATGAGCCCAAGCACCCAACTACCAACAACAGCACACGTGCAGCCCTCTCATACTCACCTTTTCACGGAGGCGCGATGGTCTCTCCGGTTTAAACAAGGACAATGCGTGTTTATCCACACAGCGCACACAGTGTGCGGGCTTGTCCGCCATCGAGGCTGTCTGCTGGGCTCCGGGGCGCCGCGGAGAGGGAGGGGCCGGAGCGGAGGCGCTGGAGCGTCATCCTGAGGTCACTGTTGGCCCCACACTAGACCAGAAGAACAGGGCTCTGGACAACTTACTCTCCTCAGTGTCAGGATCTGTGATCAATGTGCTGAGCACCAGGCTGTGAATAGGCCCGGACTGGGACGTTTGGGTTTTGTTTGGTGGATGTTGAGTACTACGATGTCTTTATAATGCCACACTTTTAGTCAAAAGTCAAACAACCAATGCGATGCTGATAATTTAGAGCAGGGGTCCTTTTTCCTCCAATAAGCAATCTCAACAAAACAAAAATACCACAGAGCTTTCATTTTAGCGGTCGCTGGAAATAGAGTAAATAAAAGAGCCACGGTCGTAGTCGGCTACAGTTAGATGCCTATAAAACACAAACCAGTTATTACTTCTCAAAGTTGGGTATCAAAATTGATACAAATACAATGGTAATAGCCGTTTAACTAACCAAAATATTGTTATTCAGCACGATGCCTATAATTCCGAAATCCTTTGGTGAGCTAATTGGAAGGAACTGGAGAGCTATTGGAAGCTCCCGAGCTACAGGTCGGAGACATCTGCTTTGAGAATAAAACTAAATGTTGAATGTTTTCAGTGCGTATCGCACAACCCCAGAAGCTCAGTCCAAAGCAGGAAGATGGTCCAGAGGCTGAATGAATTTATAAGCTTGGGAAATATTGGTGGGTGCATTACCTACATCAGCCAGTAGATGCCAGCATAAGCTCAATATAATGTCTGACTTACATAACGTTTGAATATTCAAATACGACAACCAACATGATACGATTCAACTTTGGGGTACCATTTTTTGAAGCCACTGTGAAGGGTATTTCTATTTTGTGACCGTGTAGACATTGAACTTTGTTCTTTTTATTCATTTTAAACTATGGGGATTCTAAATTGTCACGTGAGCTCAGCCCATCGCATTCATTCATTTATCAGTTTACTCATGAACATTACTTTACTCATACCATGGTATGGGGAACAAACATAAATATATCAATTTATGACAAAATAAAATACACTAGAGAACACCTTTTCCATCAATATAAAGCCCTTTCAAGTAGGGACCAATTGTTTTCTTTTGATGGGCATTCTGAATGCAATCTTAGGTATGCACTTCCCTCTGAGTTTTATGACCTCACAGTGTGTACACTCAAACAAAACATGACACTAATCTCCCAACAAGTCCTCCCTCTTTGATCTTTACAGGCCTGTGCATCTGCCAGTGACTTTGAGAATCCTGCTCTTATTAGTTCTTAAGTTACTGTTTTGTACTGCCAAATATTGATTCTTTTCTTGTCCTTTTTTTTTTTTTTTTTTTTTTTTTTTTTTTTTTTTGTCGCTATTCATTTTTGAGCCAGTAACTTTACCTTATGTACATGCCTAATGTATGATTTTCAATGCTGACTATATTCTGTATACTTTCTTCTGTAATAAATATTATTCATGAATTATTATCATTAATAAACGAAGTGATGTTCTCCTTGTCTCACTCTAATGGGTTTCAGAATGATGACAGTGATTTTAATTTTTTTTTTTTTTTTTTTTTTTTAAGTAGTAAAGAAAAATGCGTTGTTGCTGTTTTCCCGTTTAATCGCTATTCAAAGTTGTCGGTATAAAATGAGCGCGTCACTCGTGCTGGATGCGTGTCCATGAACGCAGCGGCGCAGAGCGGATTTCAGCGGAGTTTGTCCATTAACAGTGACCGCCCACAAACATCCCCGTCCCGGTTTTTCTCAGCTCCTCTCGGTACGGAGCCGTTCTGGCTCGACTCAGCTGGAGATGACCGTGTCGGCGTGGACCCGGGTCCACTCGGGGCCTGGGGGACTCTGACGGGACCGTGGAGTAGACTCGGACTAGACTTGGTGCAGGGATCTGCGCGCCGCGCGCCATGGCCCTGCTGTGCGTGAGAGGTGAGCTGCTCCGCGTGCACAAGAGGGATCCTAGACCAGTAAAGACTCAATTCTGAAATGAAAATGATGGCCTGTAATTAGGAATATATAGGCCTATTCGTATTATGCCAAGTTTGAATTAGTCTGAACTGTTTTAAACTATCTACTTCCTTCTCTATCTGGAGACCTATTGGCAGGTTTTGTCGTCGTTGTCTCACAGTTGACTTTATGCATTTTTAAACAAGCATGCGTAGTCTACAGTAAGGCTGCACGATTTTTGGAGAAAATCTAGTCTATCTGCTAATGAATTGTATCTTAAAGTGTTACGATATACGTTTAAAAAGTCTAATTCTGTTCAGAGTGCACATTGAACACAACATCAACATTTGAGAGAAGACTGAAATATTAACTGATGAAAGACTACAAGAATCCCATGCATTTCAGAGCGTTTTGTCTAAACTACGGGAAAAACACGTTTTTTCTCTTTAATGGGTAGTTTTGCTCCCAACAGCCTTTAGGCTTTAATAACTGTATCGACTCATTTCAGTTTGGACGTATTTAATTGTGCAGTTCGAGTCTACTGTCCAGTGTTTACACCATTTTATGATCAATGTTGTAAAGTTGTTTCCTCATCAAAAACATACCCGGATTTGTGTATTCTGTTCCACCTTGTGACGTCATGTGGGGGGGATACAGGATGTGCTCTACTCACTCACCTTTAGCCCTGGAAGGTAAAAAGTAGCTGTACTTGAAAACCATCACTTCATGACACCACAATGTGGAATAGAGCATTCTGAGTTTTGAAGATGTAGACAGACTGATAGATAAAAAAGATTACAAAACTCAAGTCCAGTTTTGTTTTTGAGGAGGTAGCAACATTCTAACATTGCTTAAAACTCACAAGAGTCACTTGTCACGTGTAATATATTGTAATCCATAATGAGAACCACAGACAGAGCAGTCGTGCTCTCTCTCTCTCTCTCTCTCTCTCTCTCTCTCTCTCTCTCTCTCTCTCTCTCTCTCTCTCTCTCTCTATATATATATATATATATATATATATATATATATATATATATATACAGTCAAGCCCCAAAATTATTCATACCCCTGACTAATTTTCACTTAAAGTTACTTTTATTCAACCAGCAAGTTTTTTCTTTATTTGAAATGACACAGGCGTCTCCCAGGAGATAAGGCTCCTACAAGAGGCATCACTGTGGAAAAAAAAAATTTCTCAGCTTTTATTTACATTTGAACAAAAAGTGGCATATCCAAAATTATTTATACCCTTTGTAAACTGTCAGAGTCTATGGAAAAATCCAAAGTTCTATACCATTCCAAACAGCACAAACTGTTCTAAAACTTCCTAATTCCCCCGATTCATTGGGAAGAACTGTTTTTCCCGGTATCTGCTGTAGCCACTCTTCCAGTTTGGGGGTTACAGCCCCAAGTGCTCCGATCACCACAGGCACCACTAATGTCTTCACTTTCCAGACCTTCTCCAGCTCCTCCTTGAGCCCCTGGTATTTCTCTCGTTTCTCGTGTTCCTTTTTCCTGATATTACCCTCGCGTGGTATTGCGATGTCCACCACCACGGCTCCGCTCTGTTTCTTCTCCACCATGACTATGTCTGGTTGGTCCATCACCATCCTGTCAGTCTGTATCTGGAAGTCCCACAGGATCTTGGCTCGGTCGTTCTTCACAATCTTTGGAGGTGTTTCCCACCGTGACCTTGGGGTCTCCAGCCCGTACTCTGCACAGATGTTTCTGTACACTATGCCAGCCACTTGGTTATGTCGCTCCATGTATGTGTGCCCTGCCAGCATCTTACACCCTGCAGTTATGTGCTGGACTGTCTCAGGAGCCTCTTTGCACAATCTACACCGTGGATCTTGTCTGTGTGTCCTTCAGACCAGCCCTCTCAAGCCATTGGTAGGATTTCTTGATGTCAGCCACTTCAGTTATGTTCCGGTGGTACGCCCCGTGTAGGGTCATGTCCTGCTGATGATGGTTCCTCCAGCACCTCTTCCTCTGGACCCCACTGTCTGAGACATTCTCTGAGCACCTCATCTGTTGATGCCTTGTCCTTGATGTACTCAAGGAGCTTGGATGTTTCATCCTGGACAGTGGTTATCACACTCACTAGTCCTCGGCCTCCATCCTTCCAGTTTGCGTACAGTCTCAGGGTGCTGGATTTGGGATGGAACCCTCCATGCATGGTCAGGAGCTTTCGTGTCTTAACATCTGTGGTCTGTATCTCCTCCTTTGGCCATCTAATGATTCCTGCAGGGTATTTGATCACTGGCAGGGCGTAGCTGTTGATTGCCTGCACCTTGTTCTTGCCATTGAGCTGGCTTTTCAGGACTTGATTCACTCTTTGCAGGTATTTGGCCGTAGCTTTCCTTGTTGCCTCTTCAAGGTTGCCATTTGCTTGTGGGATACCAAGGTACTTGTAACTGTCCTCAGTGTCTGCTATTGTTCCCTCTGGGAGTGAGACCCCCTCTGTGTGAACGACCTTCCCTCTCTTTGTCACCATCCTGCTGCATTTCTTAAGCACGAATGACATTCCAATGTCTGTGCTGTAGATCCTTGTGGTTTGGATCAGTGAGTCGATGTCTTGCTCACTCTTAGCGTACAGCTTG